CCCCTTTACAAGACTGAATTCTTAGGATGCAGAAACCCTCTTCTTTCTCCTAAGGGTTTAGCAGGTTACAACAACACTGGTAAACGTGTACTAAATAACTGGGTTGTGTACTGTCCCATTCTGTCCCGTGTTGGCCTTTACTGGTGGGTATCTGCAGCCTTCCCCTTTCTACAAAATATACTATGACATAGCCTAAACTAAAAATTCCCTCTTCTGGGCTGGAGACGTAGTCTGTTGGGGTGCACCTGCCTTGCATGGATATTTGATATTCAACAGGATCAGTCAACCAACCAGTAAGTAAACATATAAATTCCCTCTTTCGAAATCAAGCAGTTTTCTGATCTTGCCATCCAGATACCCTTAACTGCCTAGTACGGTTAGTCCATTTCGATGCCTCTCAGAGAGAAGAGAAGGGATTCACCTTTTGAGTCTCTTACCCACTGGGAACTTTGTAGGACTGTCCTACAAATCAAAGGCCTTAAGCACCAAGGGGAATGTCTGGGGGGAAAAATCCACTCTGGTGGATTCATATATACTGGGAATAACACCCGATCCCCTCATCATAACCATTTTCCCAAGCGAGGCAACCTTTGAAAACGAGCCGCTCGAACCTCTCGGCATAGGCTCGGGTACCTGTGGGGGCAGCAAGAGAATGTGAGAGCAAGTCCCACATTGTCTATGAGATAAGGTGGCTTCAGCGATCTCCCAACACCCTCCTGGCATCCATACCCCGCCTCGCCAAGCAGGCACTGAAATCGCGCTTGGCGTTTGGGGCACCAGCAAAACTGGAAAGACGACACATTAAGACAAGTGCAAACCGTTTCTCAGCATGCAAGCCGAGGGCCTGCCCCCTGCAGCCCGACCGTCCTCACCCGGAAGTGCTGGTCCCGGTACTCGCTGAGCTCCACGTAGGAGTCACTGCGCAGCGCCTTCAGCAGGCCTCCGGACATGGTGCAGAGAGGCAAAGACGCGTCCTCGGCAGGAAAGATCCGACGGTGGCAGAGCGGAAGCGGAAATGTGCGTCGGTTGCTACAGAAAGTGGCTCGGCTCAATCCTGGCGCCGCAGTGTCGTCATCCGGCGGCGCGGGCGTAGACTTGTCCGTCTGGAGCGCGACCGACTGGAAGCCGAGAGCACCATACCCCGGGTTCCCGGGCGCTCGAAGGACGATGGTTATCCGGCGGCTGCTGGCGGCCCTGCTGCACAGCCCGCAGCTGGTGGAGCGGCTTTCCGAGTCGCGGCCCATCCGGCGTGCAGCGCAGCTTACCGCCTTCGCGCTCTTGCAGTTACAGCTGTACGGCCAGGACGCAGCCCGCCGCCTGCGCGCCCTCGCTCACCAGCCCGCCGGCTCCCTGGGCCGCCGCGTCGCGCGATTCCGAGACACTTTCACCCAGGAGCTGCGCCGCGGCCTTCGGGACCGCTCAGGTCCCCCGCCAGGTCAGCAGAAGGACCCGGGCGCCAAAGCTTAAGTACGGACCGGACGAGGCCGGCCCAAGTCACCTACCCTCCCACTAGTGCTCTACACCGACCTTGGCGTTTACGGGTCGTCCCGGGCATGGTGCACAACTTCGAGCCCTGACTCAACTGTTAGCATGCAGACGCCGCTTTCAGAGCTCAGATCAAACCGACATCTGCGTGGTACCCCTGTGATTCTGCCCGGCATATAAAGGCCCACAAGGCTGACATAACGAAGCTACAACAGGACACGACACATACGGAAAACCATGGCCACACAGAAAGCGAGCCCGCCTTCTTTCTGCAAGCAGGACTGGAACTTGATCAACGGTTGCTGCACCTGCACTTGTATAAGAGGGTGCCAGGAGAGACGGTGGGTGGAAAGACAATCCTGCTGCTGCCAAAATCTCTTATTAAATGTGTAAGCTGATTAATAGGTGTGACCGTGGTACTTCTCAGACAGAATGGAGTACTGGAGACTGTAGCCCCTGGTAATAGTAGTTAACACATTGAGAGCCTGCTCTTGGTGTTTGTTGCATTCTGTATGGTTTTGTCACTTACTAAAATCTCATTCATAGGAGGAAATGGAAGCCACTTTTCAAGTAACCCAAAGCCTTTACAGAGTGAGGGGAACCCAGACATGTGCCCTTGATGACTACTCTGCAGTGTTTACCCAGCTCAGGGACTGCCTTTTCCATAACCACCAGGCATTTAAGATCACTGCCACCATGGAACATGATACTTGAATTCCTCTTCCCCGTTTTTGAAGGTTAGTCTGGGATACAAACTATGGTTAAAAGTTGAACCTTTGGATGGAAAAGCCATGCATATGACATACCTTGTCATTTTGAGGCTCCAAGTTGAATTTCTGGTCCTCTCACCCAGTTAATCATACAATCTAGAAAGTTTGAAGCCATTGGAAAAACTTTTGGGCTGGGTACCAGATTCTGAGTATCCTGCGTTCCCAGTTCCTTCTGGGGCAGGCTGAGAGGGCCTCATACACAATAGTGCTGAGAAGGGCAGACATCTGGATTCCGTATTCTGGGAGAGAGATCTTTTTCTAGGGGCAGTAGGCACACTACGTCCTTGAACATGTTAAATAGGTACTCCACCACTGAGCTATAACCCCAGCCCCTGAGAAAATTGCTTGATAGTTTCCCATCACTTCTGAAGAAGAGGAGTAAAGGAGAATGGGGAGAAATTTTCTAGAATGACTTGTTTGAGTAAATAACTGAACCCTGTGTCCGCAGGCACTAAGTACCATTAAATATAACACAATTCCCGCTTCCATGGTTAAACGGTGTTGTGAGAGACGTGTGTCAAGATAGGGTGCTTGTGCTCTAGGTTCCAGAAATGACACTGGTCACTGGTGAACACTTTAGCAATCCTCAGATCTCTTGATATGGCAATGTATTGGGTGAATGGAAGGGGCTTTCTTAACATCACAGTGAGTGGCATACGAGGGACTAGAACTGAACTGAACCACCTGCTTTCTCTGTTTTAGCCCACTGTCTGTCTCAAAAGCCAGGTTGAAAGCTGAAGAATTCATAGTAGCAAGAAGTAAAGCGTCATGGAGGTTGGGAGCGGCCACTCGGAATGTCACTAGCAGTCATTGTGTTTCATAGCCAGGTGCTGTTGTATATTTTAGACATTACAGTGAAAGGAAGAGGGCAGAAGCAGACGGGCTGGTGGTTACACTGGTTTCTGTGGTATTGGGACTGTGCTCAGATCTTTGGTGTCTGAGGGAAGGAATGTGGGGTTCACCCAGGAGGAGAATGGCCAGTGGCTGTTCCAAGGAGACAGCAGTGGGCATCCAGAAGGAAGACGGGGGCCCTGCTCCAGTGACCCAGCCGGACTGTCTGCGTAGAGGGTGAAATGGTGCCTTTTATGGCTGCACCTTGGGCAATGACTGCTCTGTCATATCAGGCATCTCCTCCAGCTCTACGATGTGAAGACTGAGGTGGTCCCTCCAAGCCCCACTGAGCAGGGAGGATAGGGCTGGTGGGTCTTCCAGGGTCAAGTGAGGAAACAAAAAAGTCTCATTCTTGTAAGGGAAACTGCACCTTTCCACGGCATGCCTTTTGGTCCCAGGAGTCACCACAAAGAGGCGGCAGAGCCACGGCCCACCAGCCAGTTGGCAGGCTGGTTGTCTAGTGAAGTTGTTCAGGGCTTGGCACAGGACCCTGTCCTCAGACCCACCCATGTCCACCACCTCCACAGGTGATCCCGGGCCTGAGAGGTGTAGGAGGTGCTGTGGAGGCATATATGTATGAGCAAAGAGGAGTGTGTAGTGGGTGGTCATGCCTGGAAGCACAGGTGTGTGGACCACCTGCTCCAGGTACTTCAAGCCAGGTACCAGACCTCCCTGATGCAGGCAGCCAAAGAACAGGGCACCTAGGGCATTGAAAAGGACCAGAGTGCCCTTCCAGGGCACAGGTTGGGTTTGTGGACTGCAAAGCAGGATTAGGGGGACTATCAGAGGAATCAGGAACCGAGCCTCTTGGTGGCTAAAGGCAGATAGCAGGACCAGGGGTGTTAGATAGAGGAGAAGGAGACAGGATCTGGGACTAGGCAGCAGACCCTGGGTACCCAGTGCACTCAGGAGGCCCATTTGTGCAAAGGCCCGGAGGCAGACTTGGAACTGTTGCCATGCAGCCTGAAGTGCCTGGGCATGCAACATGCCAAAGAGCAGAAAGCCATTGACTGCCAGGTGAGTGAGCCGTGCATGCGTACCATGCTGTGCAAGGTTTTGGGGATCCAGGTTGTAGTGCAAGAAGTTGACAGGTGTAAGAACAAGACTACTGGATCTCGAGAGGTTAGAGAAGTACCAGCTGTCTGTGGCCACAAACAGCACTGCAGCAAGGGCTGCCCCCAGCATCAGGACCAGGGCTTCCTGAGTCAGGGCCTTGAAGCCAGGTTCCAAGGCTGTACGGATGCCCCAGAGGAAGAGGGGGACCACAGCAAAGGCTAGAAAGGTGGGCCGATTGAAGAAGCCAGCAGCCAGGATGGCCCCAAGAAGCCAGCTGTGCCACCACGGACCTAGGGCAGGCTTCTTTGATGTAGGGGTCCTTGCCACATGGGGGGACACCAGCACCAGCAGCCAAGTGAAGAGCAGTCCCTCGATGGTGTTAGAAAAGGTCCTTGTGTAGAAAACCAGGGTGACATAGGAACCAGACAGCAGAGCCAAGGCTGTCCAGCGATCTGCCCTCCACAGTGGAGCCAAATGGTACATTCCCCAGTCCAGGGTAAAGGAGAGGGCAGTGAGGAGGAGTCGGGGCCCCACTAGCAGCAAATAGCCACTCACCAGGTCAGGCCAGGGCCCCAGCTCTTCCCAGAGCCTGAGCAACCAGAAGGCAGAGCCAGAGGTCAGCAGTGGGAAGACCACCGTTCGGCAGGAGCTGCTGGGATAAAACTCCCAGGGCCGCGTAGCTTGCACGCCTAGGATGTCCTCTGCAGAGAGAGAGGCAGAGGTGAGCCAGTTCCAAGCTTAGGTATGTGGCGGGCTGAGTTCTAGTTTGGCATCTGGGATTGCCGGTCCTCTAGTGGCCACTTTCAGTACAACCCCAGGGTTTGTACCGAGTGGATTTTACTGCTTCGTTTGGGTTACGTTCGGTGGAGCACTGATGTGGAAACATTGACTGAATCACGAAATTCTCAGCTGGCCTGACCTCTGGGGCTCTTGAAACAGCCATGGTGGCCTCCAGTCGCTGGCAATAAGGAAACAGCAACCATGGTTCCATAGGGGAAGTGAATTCTGCCAACAAGAATGAGCTAGATGCGGTGACACACACCTGTAATCCTGTGCTTGAGAGGCAGAGGCAGAAGGATCAGGAGTCCCTGATCATCCTTGGTTGTAAAGTGAGTTTATGGCTAGCCTGGGCCATGTGAGACTATCTCAGAAACAATCTAAAGAAAGTACACGTAGGAAAGAGGACTAAATTTTCCAACTTAAAACTCAAATCTACTTGTTGAGCCCTGTGGCAGAGTTAGGTGGAGATCTCTGGTGTGTCTTTTCCCAAGCTGAGTCTGGTTGTACACACTTGTAATCCCAGTAGTTGGGATGCTGAGTCACAAGGATTGCTAGAGGTGTGAGGTCAGCCTGGACTGTATAGAGAGATGGTATCTCAAAAAACACAAAAGATAAAACTAACCAAGTGTGTTTTGAACTCTTCTTCCTTAGTCTCTTTTAGCCAGGCACTTTGCCAGATATAAAGACTTTCTTTCCCAGCTGCCTTTGAAACTAAATGTGGTCGTGTTATACATTCTAACTAGAGGCATCGAAGTGGGCAAGTGTATGGCAGCTAGGTATGGTAGCTCATACCAGTAATCCACTCAGGAGGCTTAGGCAGGAAGATTGCTTTGAGCTCCAGGCCAGCCTGGGCTGCAAAGTGATACTCTGTGTCAGAAAAATAGCAAAAAAAAGGGGGCAGCTGGTGATAGAGCTTAGGTGGTAGATTGTGAGTTCAGTGTGCCCAAAGCCCTGGGTTTGATCCCTAGCACTGCTTAAACCCAGGCATGGTGGCACTGCAGAGCTAGAGGCAGGAGGATCAGGAGTTCAGGGTCATCCTTGACTACGTAGCCAGTTTGAAGCCAGCCTGGGTTACAGGAGATCCTGTCTCAAAAAGAAGGGGTCACGCAGGGCATTTGACATAAAGTATGACCCTAAAGGGCAGAGACCCTTCCTTGATCCTGTAAGAAACACTTTCACAGCTTTCATTTTCAGACCACATCCTGGGTAAGCTTCCCTAGCCACTGGGAAAGCCCACCTCAAGTCACTCGCTAAGTCCGCTGCAGCTTTCATTCTGAATGACCTCTTGGTCCAGGCAGGAAAACATCAAAGAGGGTGGTGTTTCATTTTTATCATTCAGGAGCTCAGGGTCACCAGTCAAGAAGGTAAGTCCACTTTAAGTTCTTATCCCAGCGAAGCTTTAGCTTTGCCTGTGAACTCAATGCTTCTTCGTCCCCATAGGCCTCTCCCTTCCCACTAAATATCCAGGCAGACTCAGGCAGACGCTGCCACCACCAATCTTAAAGGCACACAGGGAGCTTTACCTGCCATGACCTCAGGTGACTGGAAGAACTCATCTGGATGTATGTAGCCAGTCTGGGGAAGGAGACACCACAGCACTCGGAGCAGGCTGAGGCTGCCCCAAATCACCCTGGCTGCCATCTTCAAATCAAATTGCCAAGTACTGGACTGAGAGCCTGGAATGACTTCACAGCTGCATCGGGTGACTTTCTGGAGCCACAGATCTATATCTGTTGAGAGTGACATTTGGTGGTTATTATAATGTAGGTCATAGTACTATAGCTGAACATGTTCAACATGGATCTGTACAGAAATGACAGGGTGTGCTGGTGTATGCCTGTAATTCCAGCACTTGAGAGGCTGAAGCAGGATTGTGTGTTCCAGGCCAGCCTGGGATATGTAGCAAATACTCTGTCTCAAAAAACAACTAAGTCAGACATGGTAGTACACACCCATAATCCCAGCACTTAGGAGGCATAGGTAGAAAGATTAGGAGCTCAGAGCCATCCTTGCCTACATAGCAAGTTAGAGGTCATCCTGGGCTATGTGAAAACTTATCTCTAAAACTAAAAAAAATAGGTGCTAGCTGGGTATGGTGGCACATACCTTTAATCCCAGCACTCTGGAGGCAAAGGCAGGTAGATCTCTGTGAGATCAAGGCCAACCTGGTCTATATAGCAAATTCTACAGGGAGACCCTAGTTCAAAAACAGGAGGAGGAGGAGGAGAAGGGGGGAGGGGGAGGAGGAAGAAAAAGAGGAGGAGGAGAGGAGAAAGATGCTTTTTAAAGTGCCAGATGCACTTAGACCTTATTTAATCTCTTCCATAGCCTAGGACACTGAGTCTCATTATCCCCATTTGTAGGTTGGAAAACTGATGCCGCTATGGGGAAACATAATCATTTGTTAATTTTATTTGTTAAGGATCTGTGATGGTTCTTTGTGGAAACATAGGAATACCCAGAAAACTGATAAAATGTTATTTCTAGTGGTGTCTTTGAAGATGTTTCAGGAAGAAATTTGCAGTTGAATCAGTGAGTAGAGAGAACCCTTGCCAGTGTGTGTGACATCACTGTTATGGCGAAAACAGATCTTATCGTTAAAACGAGTGTTAGGGTTAAAACAGCAGGATTGGACACACTGGGGAAGATGAGTCAGGGCTTGTATGATAGCCATGCTGACCAGATAGGAAGGACAGGGCTCTGGGGAAAACAGTAAAGCCCATGTGGGCAGGCTCTGGTGGGGTCTTACAAAGTGCCAACCCCAGGAACAGGCACCAGGTATCAATGCTCTTTTCCCTAGTAAATTGTCAGGAGGGTGCACTTCTGCGTTCCCACCTACTCAAATAAGCCTTGACTACTTGCCAATTCTCTCCTGCACCATAGGAATTCTCCTTCAGAACTGAATTGCTACTGAGGTTGGGATTGGAGGGAATTCTGAGAGCATCTTTCCCATCCACAATTCAAGCCCTCAGAGGTCTGAGTAGAACAAACAGGGAAGAGTGGATCGACTTTCTGGAGTGGGGCACTTTCCCTTGCCCTCAGACTCTGGCACTTAACCCCATTCTGCCTGGACCCAGATCCTTGGGCCTTTGGGCTTGATCTGGGACTTTATACCATAGGCACCGTGGTTCTAAGATATTGGACTGAGACAAACTACCATAGGCTTTCCTGTTTTTCCAGACTTGCTAGTTTCCACCATTATGTGAGCCAATCCCTATAATAAAACCCATTTCTGTTCAGTGTTAAGCACAATCTATACCAAATACAGTATTTGAAACTAGGGTTAGGGAGTCCCCAAAGCCTGAATCTTACAGCCATATCCTGATCACCAGCTCCTGTCTGCCAGTCAGCAATACACTGTTTTTTGCATTTTTGAAAACTTAGGAACCTCAGTGTGTTACACCCATTTTCCCCACAAAAGTTAATTACACTCAAGCCCAAGTTTCCAGCTACTTCTTGCAACTTCTACACACTCTTTGTTTGATTTTTGTTTTCTGTGTTTGTGTTTTTTGTTTTATTGAGATAAGGTCCTACTCTGTAGGTCAAACTTGACTGAAGCTCTCTATGTAGCCCAGACTGACCTCCACCTCAGCAATCTTTTTGCCTTAGCCTCAGGCTTGAGCTACCAAGTTCAGTTGGGTTTGGGAGGGAGGAGTGAGGTGTATGTGTGTGTTAGAGATTGAATCCAGGCCTTGTACATACAAGGCAAATGTTCTACCACTGAGACATACCCCTAGTCTCATTCTATAACCTTGGCTGGCCTTGAATTCTTAGTAATCCTCCTGCCTCAGCCACCAAAGTCCTGGGATTGCAGGTATGTACCACCATACCCAGTTACAACTTTCATATACTCTGGAATCTGCCATTTGGAAGGGATGGGAACTAGTATAACTCCCTCAACTAAAAGTTCATGGAGAATCTGAGTCTACTACATGATGGACCTCTACATCAGCAGCATTTTTGGTGAAAGTAAAATGACAAGTTCTTTGCATTGATTGAGAACACAGACCCAGGCTGCCCTGCACTGTTGTAAGTAGCTGCAGAATGGCCTGGGTTCTGAGTTTGTGGTTTTCCCTAAGCAGCAACAGGAGAAATCCAACAAGTGGACATCTGTCTATTGCCCAATAGCTCTTCCCCTTTTCCCAAGTGACAGTCCTCAGAAGGTCCACTGAGAAGTGCACCTCTCACTCCCCATCACGAGTGTTCAGCCATGTGGTTTGGGACTTGATTCTGTGACGTATTAATTTTCAACATGATGACAAAATCTAGAATCACCTGGACGATGGGCCTCTAGGCATGCCAATGGAGGATTATCCTGTTTGCATTAATTGAGGTGGTAAGACCTGCCCACTGTGGGTGGTACCATTCCCTGGCTGGGTTCCTGGACTGTGTAAGTGAAGAGAGGGAGCCCAGCAGCACCATTCATCTCTGTCTGCTTCCTGATTGTGGATACAATGTGACCAGCTGCTTTGACTTCCCTGCCATGGTAGACTCTACCCTTGAACTATGAACCAGAATAAACCCTTAATCCCTTTTGTCAGAATGTTGACAGGAATTTGATTTATCGTCCTCTTTTTTTTTTTTTTTTTTTTTTTTAAAAAAAAAAAAAAAAAAAAAAAAAAAAAAAAAAGCCAAATGCTGGTATAATCAGAGGAAAGTAACAGCAAAGGGGGGTGTAACTGTCTGGAATCTCCCATTTGATCCAGGTCATTCCATATTCCACTGTTTGGGATCCCATTCTGTTGCAGTAAATGCCCACACATTCACAGCAGACACCCTTCAAGATTGGGGATTCAGTTTGATGAGGCTCTAGGTTTGGTCTTGTGCAATCTCAGTCTTCTAGCAGATAAATGCATGGAAACTTTCAGGCAGTTTTGTGACTTCAGTTGAGATCGAAGCCCCCAATTGTTCCCGCTGCTGCTGCTGCTGCTGCTCCCCCCCACTCCTCCTCCTTCTCTGCCTCCTCCTCCTTCTCCTCCTCCTCTTCCTCCTCCTCCTTGTCGTCTTAGGACCTTTAACATGCTGGGCACGGAGCTACATCCCCAGCCCTACCTCCTTTCTTCCCTATTTTATTCAGCATATTCATTTTATTATTTTATTTTAATTTTTGAGACAGGGCCTCACTATGCAGCCCTGACTGGCCTGACTTGCTATGTAGACCAGGCTGACCTTGAGCTCACAGAGACCCTGTCTCTGTTTTCAGAGTGCTGGGATTCAAGGCATGTGCCACCACACCAGCTTTGCTCATCATATTCAGTACTGTCCAGTATTGTCCTGTTTACTCCTGTAACTGAAATATCACAGGTTGTTATACACACTTTACTCAATGTTGCCTGGTCTGTCCAGTGCTGATACCCTGTGTATCTCTGCTGTCACATAAGTTACCAGAGCTCTCATCACCATAGGAAACAGTCATTTGTACCCTTTTTATTTCTGAGATAGGGTCTTGGTATGTAATAAAGACTGCTTTTGAACTCATGGTCCTCCGACCCTGGCCTCCCAAGTGCTGTGATTACAGTCATTAGACTAGAAAATAATTCCAGAAGACCTCACACTTTCTTCAGAAAACTCACCATTAAGTTTCTGTCCCTCTGCAGGGCCTGGAAGTATACACCTGTAAATCCCAAGTATTTGGGAGGCTGAGCAGGGATTTATGATTTGGAGGCCAACCTGGTCTACACAGCAAGTTCCAGGTCACCCTGGGCAACTTACCAAGATCCTGTTTCCAACTGAAAAAAAAAAATTTTTTTTTTTGAGATAGGGTCTCCCTGTAGCCCCAGCTGGCCTGGAACCTGCTATGTCTTTGAATTCACAGAGATCTGCCTGCCTCTGCTTCCCAAGTGCTGGGACTAAAGGCGAGCACCACCATACCCAGCTTGAAAAAAAGTTTTTAAAGGCACAACTTGGTAGTAGAACACTTACCTAGCATATACAAGACTCTTGAGTTAATACCCAGAACCACAAAGAACAAAAAAAAAAGCTTCTGTTCCTCTAGGTCAGCTTTCTCCCAAATCTGTTCATATGTCAGAGAAAGAGAACCAGTGTGAAATAGGTGTGAAGATTCATTGTAAGGTGCCTCCTTCATGGGGACTGGCTATGTCTGAATCTGCAGGGCAGGCCATTGGGAAGGGTTGGCTGTAATTCTTTAGCAGGAGCTAAAGCTGAAGTTCACTAGGGGAACTGTCTTTTCCTCCTCCTTCTCGTCTTCCTCCCCTTCCCCTCCCCTTCTTGCTCCTCCTCTATCCCCCCTGCCCCTCCTCCTCCTCTGTCTTCTCCCCCTCTTTTATCTCCTCCTCTCTACCTCTTCTGTCTTCTTTTCCTTTCTTCTTTAAGAAAATATTTATTTTTCAAAATTTTGTGATTTATTTTTATTTTTATGTGTATGAGTGTACTGTTTGAATGTGTGTAACTGTACCCATGTTGTGCACTGTCTGCGGAGGCCAGAAGAGGGTTTTGGATCCTCTGGAACTGGAATTATAGATGGATGTGAACTGTTGTGTAGGTACTGGGAACTCAACCCAGATCCTTCGTAAGAACAGCAATTACTGAGCTATCTCTCTAGCCCTCCTCCTTTGCTTTTTGAGGCAAGGTATCACTATGTAGTTCTGACTGGCCTTACAGTCTCTATGTAGCCAAGGCTAGCCTCAAATTAATGATCTTCTCAGCCTCCTGGGATTACAGGTAGGCAGGCAGGTCACATCCAGCTCATTCATGTCTTTTATTTTTATTTTTTAATATTTTATTTATTATTTTTATTTTATATGTATGAGTATATTGCCTGCATGTATGTGGGTGCACCCGTGTCATGCAATGTCGTGGATGTCAGAAGAAGGCTTCAGATTCCCCTAGAACTGGAGTTAAGGACGGTTTGTAGTTGCCATGTGGGTGCTGAGAATCGAACCCAGGTCCTCTTAACCAGTGCTCTTAACTGCTGAGCCACCTCTCCAGCCTCTCATTTATATCTTTTAAACTTCTATTTTGCTGGGTATGGTGGTACACGCCTTTAGTCCCAGCACTTGGGAGGCAGAGGCAGGCAGATCTATGTGAGTTCAAGGCCAGCCTGGTCTACATAGTGAGTTCCAGGACAGCTGGGGTTACAGGGAGACCCTGTCTCAAAACGACCAAAAAAAAAACCCCCAAAAACAAAAAACAGCAAAAAACCCCAAACAAACCCCTATTTAATATTCTCCATATCCTTATCTCCCTGGGATGTATATATGGCAGTGCCATCCATCTTCCACACGCCTAACCGTGCCTTCCGCTGTATCTGCTGAACTCTTAAAGCTATGTATTGATTTTTTTTCTTAAATCATAGCATCACCTAGTTTTTTTTTTTTTTTTAATGTGTCTGAGTGTATTGGAGTTACGGACAGTTGCATGTGGGTGCTGGGAATCAAACCCCAGTCCTCTGCAGGAACAGCCAGTGCTCTTAACCACTGAGCCATCTCTTCAGCCACATATGCATTGAATTTTTAATTTCAGCTATTTTATTTTTCATTGCTAGGAGCTTGATATTTTCCACATCTGCTTTCTCTTTTGTCATAGTCTCAAGGATCTCATCATTAAATTATATCAAACATACTTTTGACTTACCAGGTCTGATAATTCCAACATCTAAAGTTTGGGCCTGAAACATCTGTCTTGTTTCTGCTGGCCTTCACTCACACTGTCCAGTCTATTGTGTGTTTAGTAAATAATTTGCTTTGCAGGTTTCTCTCTCTCTCTCGCTCGCTCGCTCTCCTTTCTTTTTTCTTTCCAGAGCAAACGTATTCATTAAGGAATGTGAGTGAGAAAGCTGTTTTCATTGGAATACTATACATGGGAATTCTTTGAGCCTGGGCATAAAGGCACATTTCTTAGCTTGGAAAGAACTTATGCTTGTTTCTGTAGTCAGCATGTATGAGACTATTTTTAATCAAATGACTGGCTCCAGGATGGTTTTGGTTCTTCTTTTGGAGATGAAGGTAAAGCCTGGATGAAGAAATGCAGACTGAAGCCTGTGAGGGCAGGCTCAAGGTTACAGATTCTATTTTACTTGTAGTTCTCTGGGGTGGAAGAGCTTATTTCTAGGTCACCTTATCCTGATAATTTAGCCTCCTGATGCCCTGCTTTAGGAGCACCTCCATCCTCTTGGGTGGGCACTGGGCTCTATAGTCTGACTTGCTAGACCAGGAACCACAAACACGGGTCAGATCACCTAGTTCGGCACATGGCCTTGAGTCCAAATCTAGCTCTGTAAACCTTCCTCAGTTGCTTCTTTCTGGCCTGATACTGCCTACTTTTTATTCAGATTACATATTATTTTATCCATCATTTTAGCTGTTTCCAACAGGCTATTCCTTTTATACTTCAAGAAAAACTTCTGTGTTCTTTTAATCTTTTTTTTCCCCCTATTTATAAAAGTAATGCAAAATTGGGATGGGGGATGTAGATCAGTGGTCAACTTCTTGGCTGTTAGGCACAAAGCCCTGGGTTCTAGCCCCAGCACCACAAAATGAAAAATAAATCTAGGATCTGTAGAAAAACAATAAATAAGCTGGGCACAGGCACGGTGTGCATGCCTTTAGTCCCAGCACTTTGGAGGCAGAAGCAGGCAGATCTCTGTGAGTTCAAGGCCAACCTGGTCTACATAGTGAGTTCCAGGCCAGATGGGGCTGCAGGGAGACCCTGTCTCAAAAAGACCAAAAAGAAAAATTAAAAAGGAGAAAAATATCATTTACACATAGTTCCTAAAATTCAGAAAAATACTGTCAAACTAGGCATGGTGGTATATGTCTGTGATCCCAGCACTTGGGGAGCTGAGGCAGGAGGACCATGAGTTCCTGGATAGCCTAAGCTACATAGTGAGACCCTGACTCAAAAAATAAAACAAAAATAAAGCAGTCAACATTTTGCTGTATAGTTTTCTTGGAAAATATTGTCTTATATTTCTGTATATATTCCAAAGACACACAGACACACACATACACAGACACATATATCGACACACTTTGGCATAAGGTTGACATAAGAAACAGCCATGTTGGGCTTGAGAGATGGTTTAGCAGTTAAGAGCACTGGCTTCTCTTGCATAGGAGCCAGGTTCATTTCTACATGGCTGCTAGCAACTGTAATTCCAGTTCTAGGGATCCAGCACCTGCAGGCATTGCACACCTGGATGTGCTCACATACATGCAGGGTAAACATTCAAACAAATAAAATAAAAAAAATTTAAAAACCATGTAGAGAGGTATGCCAGAGATTAAGAAGAGCTTAGTTTAATACATGTCAAATTGTATCAAGGAAGTCATATAGTTAAGGGTCAGCACTGGTGGGTAGAACTTTCTGGTCATATTTTTTCTTGGGGACAGGGCTTAGAAAATGTTAGGGTACTGTGGTCAATCATATGAATGCTCCTTTAAGATGTATCTCAACTACTGTGGGGAACTTGGGTGTTTCCACATTTGTTGACTAGATCTGCTGAGGGTGAGGAGCATGGGGAGATGTTATGTCCAGGCCTCTTTAATTGCTTCTAGAACAGAAGGCAAACTGCTTTTCAATGTATGGGAAGGTAGAAGAGTCAAGATAGTTACTTCAGCATGAGACCTCAAGAGCAAGCCAGTCTTGTGGGTCTGCTGCCGTTCAGCATGCCCATCTCACCCTTATCTCTAGTTACTACACATCTTGCCCAAGATGTGCCATTGGCAGGAGTTGTTCCTCACAGCGTAGTGAAGCCGAATTTCCACTTACCAAAACCTCACAACCATCTTTCCATACCTCACAAGCATTGCTTCCTGCAGACAGCACCCATCATGCATCCACTCTCTGCTTGTGCTTGTCACACCTGCCCTTCCACCCAAAAATATGTCTGATTCTCTATCATTCCAACCAACCAAAGCTCTCTCTGGAAATGGGATATACCTTCTGTTCATCCTGTCTCTCCTCTTCCCTTTACAGGAATTCTTTTTTACTTTTTAAAAATATTTTTATTGCTGGGCATGGTGGCGCACGCCTTTAATCACAGCACTCGGGAGGCAGAAGCAGGCGGATCTCTGTGAGTTCAAGGCCAGCCTGGTCTACATAGTGAGTTCCAGGACAGCTGGGGCCACAGGGAGACCCTGTCTCAAAAAGACCAAAAAAAATTATTTTTATTATTTTTATTTTATGTGTATGTGTGTATTGCCTTCCCACCAAAACCCCAGAAGAGATATCCAAAGCAACAGATGCAGAAGTTGCAACACAGAAACGTAAGAAACACAAACAAAGCAGCATGACCCTCCAGAAGATCCTAACTCAACTACTGAACTCTAAGGTACTGAAATAAGTAAAATGTCAAGGGAGGATTTCCAAAGTTTTCTGATAGAAATGATCAGTGACCTGAAAGGATGCAAACAAGGAGACAACTGCAATCTGAGATCCAGAGAGGAAAACCATCAACAGAGGGAAAGTGAGCAAAGTAGGTGACAAAGCAGCGTAGAAGAGAAAATCAGCAAGGAAGTTGAGTTTTTGAGAAAAATAGAAATGTTGAAAATGAGAAACTTAATCAAATACATTGTGGAAATCATCACCAATAAACGTGACCAAGCCGAAGGAATATCAGGGCTCAAAGACAACGTTGGTAAAATACTACATTCAGCAATCAACACGGAAGAAGAGTATGCCAGCGTGAACACAATGTGTAAGAACTCTGGGATGTGATCAAGACACTAAGCACAGGAGTTGCTCGGCCAGCGGAAGTGAGTTCCAGAACACCTTTGACATTGCTGGGCTGCCACGTATGTGGGAGGTGCGTCCTCAGTGAGTTGGTCTGGCGTTCAGGGAGTCTTTGCAGGAGGCTGAAATGCAGCCTGTATTTCGTATTAAATGATGTGTACTCAAGCCAACTGTGGTGGTGCACACCTTTAATCCCGACACTCGGGAGGCACAGGCACATGGTTTTCTGTGAGATGGAGGCCAATCAATGTGGTCTATATAGCAAGTTTCAGGCTGGCTGGGGCTACAGGGAGACCCTGTCTCAAAAAGACCTTCCCCAGATTATGTATATTCAAGTGAACAGAACGTGTTCTTAATAGCTGAGCCATCTCTCCAGCCCAGCAGCTCAGTATTTCAACACATCATAATCTTCAGTACCTATCTTCTTTTATCATTTTTTTCTGTTGGCTTATATTTCCTCTGCTGAACCCCAAAACCTTAGGTAGAAGAAGCAGTTGTAGGCAATAGACCCTGTAGGACAAGACTATTCATAAGCTAAAAGAGAATCACTACCAATCTGTCTTATCTGCTCAGAAAAAAAATTTTTTTTTCAAGAATGAGGGCAAGAGGGGTTCAAGAGATGGTTCTGTGGTTAAGAGCAATGGCTGTTCTACCAGAGGACCCAGGTTCAGTTCCCAGCACCCTAACAGGGGCTCTGGCGCCCTCTTCTGGCCTCAGCAGGCATAGGTGGTGCACGACATGCATGCAGGCAAAACACTCATTATACAGGAAATAATTTTTAAAAATAGGGAGTGCAAGATTTGGGCATGTTGGCACATTCCAATAATTCCAGCACTTGGAGGTGCAGGTAGGAGGATCAGGAGTTCAAAGCCAGCCTGGGTTACCTGAAACAGTGTCTCAAACACAAAAAGCAAAAACTAAAAGCTAAAACAAACACAAACAAGGAATAAGGGCAAAACAAATGTTTTCTGAGAAATCAAAACGTAAAGGTCATCACAACTAGACCCTTGGGTAATTCTAAAGGATCTGTATCAGGATCAGGAAAAACGATTCCAGACACAATGTCTGAGAGAAGTAGGAACCAAGAGCAAAGACGCTGGCTAGCTGCTGTGCGCTGTCAGGTGGGGGCCATCTGCTCCCCCTCCTGGCCAGTCCAGGGATGGGTAAACTTTCCGAAGCAACAGCTCACGGTCATTCACCAGTCTGGCTGTTGACATACCATCACTATGGTGGTTTGGCAATGGCTTTATGATCTTTGAACACAAATAAAGCATTGTGGCCTTGAATGTAACAGTTCCCATGGTGGCCTCCTGAGTCTCTACTTTCCTGATGTGGACAGAAGTAAGGGCTTCCCCCCAGCAGGTCTGCTTTCTAGTGTTCTAGGAGTTATTCCTGGGTATTCAGCCAAGAGCTTGATCACCTGGTGCTTCAAAAGGTTGTGTAATGACAATTGCCTAAATCCTTTGTAATTGAAATGCTTAGTAGCTAGCAAACAATACCAATGAGGTCCCTGAGTCAAGCTGGACTGAGCGACTCACTGGTATGTTGTGTAACAGTCAGGCTGTATTGCTAGTGCCTGCTGTTGCTTCTAGTGATCCTCTTGATTCTGCCTCGCTCTTTATGTGGCTGTGGTCCTCTTGCCTGTGGCAAGATGGCTGGAGCAGTTCTAGCCATGCCGTGTAGACAGGACCACATGGAGAAGAGCCTGCGGTATGGGGCTGTCTCCTTTTAAAAATAGTTTTATTGAGATGTAATTAACATCCATACAGTTTACCCATGTAGAATGGCTTTTAGCATATTCACATAGATATGACCAGGGTCTATTTTATTTTATTTTTTGGTCTTTTTTGAGCCAGCGTCTCCCTGTAGCCCCAGCCCTCCCAGAACTCGTTATGTAGACCAGGTTGGCCTTGATCTCACAGAGGTCCACCTGCTTCTGCCTCCTGAGTGCTGGGATTAAAGGCAAGAGCTACCACACCCAGCTCAGAGTCAATTTTAAGTGATCTGTTTTATGTTTGTTTTTTTTTTCTTTTTCTCAAACAAATTTTCTTTTACTTTTGGGATTTAGAGAAGGTGAGGTTGACATATACTGTGTTTTTGTTAGTGAGCTTTCAGATTCCTTCAAGAAGAGATTCCACCACATGGGGGCAGGATCCGGGGGCTCTCAGGCAGTCCCCTGCGTTCTCAGGCCCTCTGCCAGAGAGAGGCCAGAGGGAGGCCAGAACTGGGGACTCTCTGGCAGTCTGCTGAGATCCCTGTTCTGTTTCTTTGAGGAAACAGGGCCTCAATTTGCTGTCCAGATTGGGCTCCAGTGACTCCTGCTTCAGCCTTCCTGCCAGCGGAGGGAACAGGCACAGGCCACTGTGCATTGCTCACGCTCTTATTTTATTCTAATTCTATATCCTGTTAGTATCTTGTCTTAAAGAGAAATCAACCTTAGGTAACAGAACTAGTATGTTGGTGAACTATGACTTGGGCCCCATATGACTCCAGAGAACTCCTGGAACTGCTTGCCACCCTTCTGCACCATCCTCAAGCACCACCAGCCCAACAGCATCTCTTCTTCCCCAAGCCAGCCCCAGGGTTCTCGCTTCTCCCCTCTGCCATACTGACATTGCTTTAATCATTCCTCCAATTGAGTTCTTATTCCTCATCCATTGTCACTCGGTGAGTCTAGGTATGCTGTGACTTTGTACATGTGGCTGGGCATTCATCAGCCCTAGAGGTGACTATGCAGGGGACTCCTTCATTATTGGGTGTGTCATCCAACAGGAGGCATCTTCTGTGTGCTTAAGTAGAAAGACATTGAGACAC